AAACGTCAGCCTTTCTGCTCCTATGATGCTGCTTGGCCTGCTGTGTTCATCCAGCTCTGCACCTTGTTGTCTCGGATTCTCCAGCATCTGCAGTTCCTACTATCTCTGATTCTCTTTAATTAACCTTGTTTTCATGTAACATGGCTAATCTGTATGGATCAGGTGATGCCAAGACACACCATGAACAAGTCAGTGTTTTTGATCCCTTTGAAGTCACAGATGTTAAATCAGCTAAGGGAACTCAGAAATCAATAGTATCATTGTGACAGGCACAAGTTTGAAAATTGTTGATAAAAAAGAGACCTTTGTGTCCGTTTGCACAAATTATTAAAGGTAGCAAGCAAAGTTGATAAGGATGGTTATAAAGCATACGATTACTTGTGGTTGTGAGTACAGGATCAGAATTTTAAAAGAAAACAAGATCATCAACTTTATAAATCACTGATTATGCTTCAACTGAATTCTTGCAGACAATCTCAGGGACCAAGAAAGATACAAAAGCATTAAGTTACAAGATCTTTACCAGAAATTTTCTGGAGATGAGTGACTTCATTAATGAGGAGAGGTTTAGAAAGTTAGAACTGTCCTCCAGGAAAGAGAGAGGGTTAACAGGTTACCTAACAGACTTTTCAAGATGATGAGGAATTTTGGTAGCATAAATTGGGAGAAACAGTCCCACTGGTTAGTGGATCAATCACTAGAGATGATAAATCTGAAATTATTGGAAGAAGTTCTAAAGGGGAGAGGAGAATATTTTTCACTCAGGGAGTTGTTGTGATCTGGAATGTTCTTCCCAAAAAGATGGCAGAAGCTGATTCCATGGATAATTTTAAAAGGAAATTAGACATGTGCTTTAAGGTGAAAAATATACAGACTATAGACAAAAAAAAAGCACTCAGCAAGATATAATAATGAGTGCGTAGTGAAGAGCTCACAAAATTACCTTTCTCCTGACAAGTCTACAGGTTCCTCATGCAGCAAGTGGCACTTTCACCATGTTGCTGACTCCTGTCCTTTAATTGGAGGGTGTTCTTCAATTCCAATGGGATCATTTTCTTTCGATGGACCTCTCGCTGCTGGGGATCTTCAGTATTAAAGAGAGAAATGTTGCTTACAAATGCCATTTTCATCCACTTTTTAACACTTGGCAAGTCAAACTAGCTACTTTAATGCTGTATAGCGGGGCTTTTCATTTGTTACTGTATGTTTTAAGCATTGAACTAAATTAATGGATTCCTGAAGGCAATTGCCTTTAAAGTGCTGCTATAATATTTTACCTGAGTTAAATTATTTCCAACATAATGCTTTGCACAGAGATTGGTGAGATTGTGGAACTCACTACCAGTATGGGATAGTTGAGGTGAATAGTAAAAATGTGTCTAAGCAGAGGCGAGATAAGCATATGAGGGAGAAGGCAATAGAGGACAATGCAGATGAGATTAGACAAGGAAGGATGGATGGAGGTTGGAATGGAGTTTAAGTGCTGTCATGCTATACGGCCTGTTTTTATGCTATAGATCCTACATAATTCTATGTTATTCTTCAAGTAAGATTTGCCAGGAGACTTCAAAGCCCGGTGTCAGATTACCAATTCTGTTTGCTATTATTGTTGGGGGTTTAATCACATAATATTTCAGTCATTTGATGTCAACTCAAATGGCACTTGCTATCTGATGTCCTTTCATGTAAAAAATAAGTTATCATAGGATACTTAGAAAATGGCAATGTGATCAGGCTGAGCCAACGTGACTTTGTGAAAGGGAAATTGTGTTCAACCAATCCACTTGAACTTTTTTGACAAAACGATATTCATGGTGGATAAACAGAAGGTGGTAGTTGTGATGTTGTTGGATTTCCAAAAGTCATTTGTTAATGTGCCACATCAAAGGTGAATACAGAAGACCAAAGAATATTTTTCAGATCAGTAAACTGTAACTAGAGAAACGTCACAGGGAACAATGCTGGGTCCTCAAGTATTAACAACCCATATTAATGATTTGGACAAAGGACACTGATTGTGTGGTTGCAAAATTTGCAAATGACACCAAAATAGGCAGGAAAGTATGTTCTCAAGAAGAAAGTTTGCAAAGCAATTCAATCAGGTTAATTGAGAGGGCAGGAATTTAGCAGATGCAGTATATCCATTTATGCAGGAAGAATAGCATACCATTAAAATAAAGAGAAATTACTGAACTTAGTGGTTCAAATGAATCTGGGTGTCCTGTTCTTTTTTAGATGCTACCATGGGACATACACATTGCTGGCAAGAGCAGCATTGATTGCTTACCTCTAAATGGCCTTTAATTGAGTGGCATACTAGATTATTCTGTGTTGAGAGTCAATTAGGCCACATGTTTTTCCCTAAAGGTAATTAATTAACCCAATAGGTTTCATACCCACTGTTGCTGAGACTAAATTTATATTCCAAAGTTATCGATTGATTTGAAATTTCACCGCTTTAGTGGGTTTTAAAAATGTGCCCCAAGAGTTTTAACCTTTCGATGGTAGTTAACTAACCATTAAGTACACAGTGCTATTAAGTACATAGGTATAGCAAGTGATTAAGAAGGCAAATGGAATGTTGTTATTTCATTGCAATTTATATTGCACAATAAAAGAAAGGGCATTTTGCTGCTGTTATAAAAGGCCTCAATGAGACAGAATCTGGAGCATAGTGTACAGTTCTGGTTACTCACATTAAAAATAAGATGATTTCTTTACGGGCATATCAGGTTCACTCGACTCATTCTTAGGTTCAACAGGTTAGACCTATATCCGTTTGAGTTTAGAAGAATGAGGGATTACCTTATTGAACCATTTAAGACCTGGAGGCAACTGGGCAGGATGCTCAGCAGGAGGATGTTTCTTCTTGTGGTGATGACTAAAACTAGGCGACATAGTTTAAGAATAAGAAGGCTCCTTTTTTTGACAGAGATCAAGCCAATTTTGTTTCTTTCGAAGGGTTATTAGAATGTGGATTCCCTTCTTCAATGGTGGTGAGTCTTATTTAAGGGTGAGTTAGATAGATTTTTGACAGACATGGGAGTTGATGGTTATGGGATACAGACGGAAGAATGAAGTTCAGACCAGATGAACCATGAGCTTATTGAATGGTGAAACAGGCTCAAAGGGCTAAATGATCTAACTGTATGTTCCTATGAAAGGAGATTGTTCCTTTATCCTGCTGTGATCATGCAATAGATTAAAATAAAATACAATTTTAGCACAATTCAAACTTAAAAATTTTTATCTGTGGAAAATTTTCCTTTCAGAGGAAGTTTCAAGTTCTTAATTATATTGATCTACAGATCAGCATCATGGCTGCAGGTGAGTCAAAAAGTAACAAAATCACCAATGAATAAACCAATCAATTTATTTATAAGCAAGTTAATATAAATATATAGAGAGGTAAATTTCCAGAATATGACTGGAAAATGTGCTTTTTGAAGCATGTTATTGCAAATTATCAAAATGACTAAAAATAATTGAAAATGTCTTTTTACTTCTTTTAACAAGTTCAACAAGTTTGAGAATTAAGCATGTTTGATACATTTACTTGTTTCAAGAATATATTTTTGACTAGTTCAACAAATTTGTTTGCAAATGAAACAATGCTTTCACCAAATGTACCTATTATTTTAAACTTTATATAATAAAGGCCACAGAATTAAAAATAATCTGTCAGTCTCAAGTGGTGGGAAAGTGTTTGCACCCAATATCCAAAGTGATAATTCCTCTGGACCTATGAACATCTCCATGGGCAACAAGACAATTGTTAATCACTACGGAGGTAATTTCACTTATTATTATCATGTGTTTGTCCAACAATTTGCATACTTTCAAAACTTTTTGTTTTGGATTTGGATTTACAATTTGAATGTATTTTTTTTTAATTTCAGAAGCCTACAAAAAAAATCTTTCAGGTATGTGATAAAATGAATCAAATTGGTGCTGTGATTTAGGAACAGAGAGAAAGGTAAATGAAATCAACAGATAGGAAAATGTGAATTCTGATACTTTTCTGAAAAAGAATCTTCTTCATGAGGTTGTGGACTTGCTCGCCGAAATGGCTTGCTTTCGTTCAGACGTTTTGTCACCATGCTAGGTGACATCATCAGTGGAGCCTCCGATGAAGCGATATTATTCTACTCTGCTTGGAATTTATACTGTCCAGTCCGTTATGGTGAGTAGTGTCATTTCTGGTTTTGTTCTGTATGGGTTTGAATATGAAACCCATATACAAACCCATACAGATCAAAACCGGAAATGACTCTACTCACTATAATGGACTGGACAGTATAAATTCCAAGCAGAGTAGAATAATATCGCTTCATCGGAGGCTCCACTGATGATGTCACCTAGCATGGTGACAAAACGTCTGAACGAGAAAGAGCTAGCTCAGCGAGCAAGTCAACAACCTCACCCACAACCTGAGCTGCAGATCTTTGCCAAAACTTTAATCTTCTTCATATTGTATCTTCTAGATTCTCAACTCACTGTCACTGTAATATTTTAATTCTGCTTTTCCTCAGATCTAGCTAGTTGCTAGTTGTTGACTTCAACTAATACTTAATGGATTAGTTCATCTAACTGGAAAATATAAATATTAGCCTCAAACTGCTTTCCATGTGCAATCTGCATACTCAGCCTGGACACAACATTGTCCTGTTTGTTTTTGTGTGCCATCTCTCATATCAAGAAGATTTCCAAGCTTGCCTATACTTCTGAAGATGTCATATTAGACTCAAAATGTTAACTCTGGCTCTTTCTCCATAAATGCTGCCAAACCTGCTGTTCTCCAACATTTTCTGTGTTTGTTTCACTTAGACCACTCCATTCATTGGTTGTACAGCCTTTGATACCAATATCTACATTCACGTCATTATCAACCACTCCCAAACATCACTGCACACAAACTGCAGCATATCTACAATTAAAAACATGTGAACAAAGACCAAGAGAAGGACACTCTACCCTTTGAGCCTATTCCACCATTCAATAAGATTATGGCTGATCTGCTTTTAACCTCAATTCTACATTCCTACATATCCCTGATAATCTTTTGTCTCTTCCATAATCAAGAATCTATCTACCTCTGCCTCAAAAATTTAAAGATTCTGCATTGACTGCCTTTTTGAGGCAGAGAATTCCAAAGACCCTCAACTCTCTGAGAGAAAAGAAGTTTCCCATCTCCGCTTTAAATAGGTGCCCACATATTTTCAAACTATGACCCCTAGTTCTTGATTCTGCCACAAGAGGAAGCATCCTTCCAATATTTATCCAATCAAATCCCCTCAGGATCTTAAATGTGTCAATTAAGTCACCCCTGATTCTTCTGAACTCTAGAGGATTCAGGCCTAGCCTGTCTAGCCTTTGCTCATAAAGCAACCTGCTCATTCCATGTATGAGTCAAGGAAACTTTCTCTGAACTGCTTCCAGAGCAATAACAACCTTCTGTAAGTACAGCAACCAATAGTCCACACAATACTGCAGAGACAGTTTCACCAATGCCCTGTATAATTGAAGTATAAACTCCCTGCTCTTATGTTCAGTTCCCTTCGCCATAAACCATAACATTCTATTAGTTTTCCTGATTACTTGCTGTTTCTGTATACTAACCTTCTGTGATTCGTGATCTAGGACAGCTGGATCTCTCCCTTTCTCAGAGCTCTGCAACTTCTCACTATTTAGATAATAGGCCTTTTCTTTATTCTTTCTGCCAAATGGACAATTTCATGTGTTTCCACAATTGTACTCTATTTGCCAGGTTTTCCATTATACCTCCTGATCCAACTCCATATTTTAACTTGCTGTGAAGGACCCCTTGCCCTTTGACTTCCCTCAACATCTTTTGTCCAGTTTTATAAAGCCCTGACCTCGCCACATCCTTAGTCCCTGTAACCCAGCTACCGTATCATTGCTCCTCTCTAACTTCATTCCTTACTTCTGGGGTCGGGTGCTTTTACACAAATCGTTGGGCTCTAAGCTTCCTGAGGTTTCTACTGCAAAAACCTAATCTGTAAGTTCCAGTGACTGACAGATCAGAGATTTGTGGACAGTCGTTTCTGTAACCGCTACCTTTTTGCGTCTCCATCACAGGGACTGACTTGAAAAAGCTCAAAGTCACCCACAAAAAGAAATCAAAAGAGGCGGTTGAATACATGATAGAATCCGAGAAGAAAGGGAAAAAACGTGTTTTGCTGCGTGAACGATTTATTAACGTGCGCATCACTGAGACCGACAGGAGCGAGAATGCGAATGAGAAATCTGAAGAGAGGGTGATTGAATATGGGAACATTTTCAGTCCTGTGTCAGGACAGAGCAGGGAGCCTCTGACTGTTGTTACCAAGGGGCTAGCGGGGATTGGAAAATCAGTCCTCGTCCAAAAACTCATCTATGATTGGGCTACCGGCGCTGCCCTGTCTGAATATGATTTCATTTTCAGCTTCCCTTTCCGGGAGCTGAGTCTGCTGTCAACAGTGAAGAAAGAAATCAGTCTGCCTGACCTAGTCAAACAGTATTACCCCTACATACAAAAATGTGCCAGCGTATTGGCCAATGAATCGATCCGAATGCTGTTTATCTTTGACGGGCTGTCGGATGGCGACCTGGAAGTGGACTTTAACAAACACATTGTCTACCGAGATGTGACCGGGGCGATCGCACTGGGAGCCCTCCTCGTCAATCTCATCAAAAAGGAATTAATCCCAACGGCTTCCATTTGGATAACTACCCGACCCAGGACCAAAAACAACATCCCTCCCCACTACATCAGCAGGGTGACTGAAATCAAAGGATTCCCGGACCAGGAGAAGGAAGATTACTTCCGCAGGCGATGCGAAGACCAGACATTGGCCCAAAAGATGTTCCAGGTCGTGAAGAAACAGAGGAACGTGTTTTTCATGTGCTCGGTCCCCGCTTTTTGTTCGATTCTGTTCTCTGTTTTGGAAACCGTGTTGAAATCGGTGGATACCCACGATGAGATACCCCAGACACTGACAGAAGTGTACTCTCACTTCCTGGTGTATTTGATTTTATTCCAAGAGGAAAAGCTCGAGTTTATGAATAAAGACACGCAGGTTAGGTTGCTGAAGTCAAAGCATGACTCAATCCTCGCGCTGGGGAAGCTGTCCTTTGAAAAAGGCAGCATCAAAGGCTGCGAGACCGTCTTATTCAGTGAGGAAGAGTTAAAACAGAACAACATCCAGCTCTCCTTGGTTTGCGGTGGACTTTGCAAAGAGATTGAGGGCGACAAATCTAACTATTCCTTTGTCCATTTGGCAGTGCAGGAATATTTTGCAGCCCTGTATGTTTTTCTTGCCTTTTACAACCAGAAGAAAAACGTTCTCGGGAAGAGTTTTAAACTGTTTGAAAAACACAGCTATTCCCAGATTTGCAAAGAGGCTTGCCAGTCTGCCATCAAGGATGGGAAAGGTCGCCAGGAATTCTTCCTCAGATTCCTTTGCGGATTGGGAACTGCAAAAAGTCAACAATTTTTGGAAGGGCTCTTGGCCAGTGATGGGAAAAACAAGGAGAGAGACGACTCAAAGAAAATCGCTAAATTCTTGAAGAAAACCTTGCAGGCAAACATTCCTCCGGAACAAACCATTGATATTTTGCACTGTCTGAATGAGCTGAATGATATCTCTGCCCTCGAGGAAATCAAAGCTGCTTTCAAGTCTGGGAACTTTTCTTCCGGGACCCTGTCGCCTGCTCAGTGCTCGGCGCTAGCTTTTGTTCTGCAGATGTCAGAAGAGAGCTACCAAGAGCTGGATCTGTCATTTTACAAACTGCCATCAATTGGCATACGCAGGCTGCTGTTAACCGCAAACTATTTCACCGGGATAAAGTGAGTGTTCACTTTTCGTCCATAGGTCACATCATTTCCGACATTGGCAACAGTCAGTTTTTTTTTGAGTTCTGAATTTACGCAACATTTAGGGCATTCGCCGTAGCTCCAAATAGTTTTTTTTTAATCAGTGTGGTATGCTTGGATGTTTGAACTCCATTTGCTCATTTGGAACTTGCCCCATCAAGTCTCCGCCAGGCAGTTCTTAACGTGCAAAGCCCCTAGGGCTGTCATGGCACAATGGTAGTGTCCCTATCTTTGAAGTAGGAGACCTTGGGTTCTGATCCCTCTTGCTCCAGACGTGTGTTGCAATACCTGTGAACAGGTTGGTTAGGAAACCCAAAAGCCTAGATTCCTGTCTTGAAATACATTTGTGATAACCCCTACAAGGCCCCTAGAGCCCTTGATAAAGCAGACCCAGGGATGGGTCTGCAGAACTGACTACCCTATGTATCCCACAAGTAGCGGCTTCCTAATTCTCCCCAAACATATTTTTTAATTCATCCACATTGCTGGCTTGGCCAACATTTATTCACCATCTCAGTTAAGAGACAACCACATTGCTGTGGGTCTGGAGTCACATGTAGCCCAGACCAGGTTAGGATGGCAGTTTCATTCCCCAGAGAACATTAGTGTCATGGTGGAATTTGAACCCAGGTCCCCAGAGCATTACCTGAGTTTCTGGATTAACAGTCCAGCAATAATACTATTAGGCCATCGCCTCCCTTCTATCAAATAACTCCAACCAGTACTCCTACACGGCTTTTATTCTCATTTTCAATTCCTTTGTAACAGACAAACAAAATCTTTAAAGGAGACACAACAAAGAAAAAGTTTAATGCCTTAATGATTTTTCTCCTAGATTACACACCACCGACAAGTTCCCCTCCAAGCCACTCACCATCCTGATTTGGAAATATGTGGCTATTCCTTCAATGTCCCTGAGTCAAAATCCTGGAACTTCTTCTTTAATGGTATTGTAGGTGTACTTACACTAAATGACTATGGCAGTTCACGAAGCAGCTCACCACCAACTGCTCTAGGGCAGCCAGGATGTGCAATAATTGCTGGACAGCCAGCAAAGTCCACATCCCACGTGTGAATAAAAAATATCCATAAAGGGTTAGCAACCCTAATATTGGCTTCATCATATGACAAATTATTGGACCTGGCATGTGGATTAGTAGTTAGCATTCATATCCTGTGGATGAAGGGTATAGTTTGAAAGCCGATTCAGGCAGTGCTACAGATTGAAGCCTAGCTCTGAAATCAGGGTTGATATCGAACAGAGATAGTAGGAACTGCAGATGCTGGAGAATCTGAGATAACAAGGTGTAGAGCTGGATGAACACAGCAGGCCAAGCAGCATCATAGGAGCAGGACGGCTGACGTTTCGGGCCTAGACCCTTCATCAGAAATGGGGGAGGGGAAGGGGGTTCTGAAATAAATAGGGAGAGAGGGGGAGGCGGATAGAAGATGGATAGAGGAGAAGATGGGTGGAGAGGAAACAGACAGGTCGAAGAGGCGGGGATGGAGCCAGTAAAGGTGAGTGTAAGTGGGGAGTTAGGGAGGGGATAGGTCAGTCCAGGGAGGACAGACAGGTCAAGGGGGCGTGATGAGGTTAGTCGGTAGGAGATGGGGGTGTGGCTTGAGGTGGGAGGAGGGGATAGGTGGGAGGAAGAACAGGTTAGGGAGGTGGGGACGAGCTGGACTGGTTTTGGGATGCGGTAGGGGGAGGGGAGATTTTGAAGCTTGTGAAATCCACATTGATACCATTGGGCTGCAAGATTCCCAAGCGGAATATGAGTTGCTGTTCCTGCAACCTTCAGGTGGCATCGTTGTGGCACTGCAGGAGGCCCAGGATGGACATGTCGTCTGACGAATGGGAGGGGGAGTTGAAATGATTCGCGACTGGGAGGTGCAGTTGTTTATTGCGAACCGAACATTTGTGTTCTGCAAAGCAGTCCTCAAGCCTCCACTTGGTTTCCCCGATGTAGAGGAGGCCACAACGGGTACAGTGGATGCAGTATACCACATTAGCAGATGTGCAGGTGAACATCTGCTTGATGTGGAAAGTCTTCTTGGGGCCTGGGATGGGGGTGAGGGAGGAGGTATGGGGGCAGATGTAGCACTTCCTGCAGTTGCAGGGAAAAGTGCCGGGTGTGGTGGGGCTGGAGGGGAGTGTGGAGCAGACAAGGGAGTCACGGAGAGAGTGGTCCCTCCAGAAAGCAGATAAGGGTGGGGAGGGAAAAATGTCTTTGGTGGTGGGGTCGGATCGTAGATGGCGGAAGTGTTGGAGGATGATGCGTTGGATCCGGAGGTTGGTGGGGTGATATGTGAGGACGAGGGGGATCCTTTTTTGGTTGTTATTGCCGGGACGGGGTGTGAGGGATGAGTTGCGGGAAATGCAGGAGACACGGTCGAGGGCGTCCTCGACCACTGAGGGGGGGAAGTTGCGGTCCTTGAAAAACGAGGACATCTGAGATGTACGAGAGTGGAATGCCTCATCCTGGGAGCAGATGCGGCGGAGGCAAAGGAATTGGGAATAGGGGATGGCATTTTTGCAGGAAGGTGGGTGGGAGGAGGAGTATTCTAGGTAGCTATGGGAGTCGGTGGGCTTGAAATAGATGTCGGTTTCTAGGTGGTTGCCCGAGATGGAGACAGAGAGGTCCAGGAAGGTGAGAGAGGTGTTAGAGATGGTCCAGGTGAACTTAAGGTTGGGGTGGAAGGTGTTGGTGAAGTGGATGAACTGTTCGAGCTCCTCGTGGGAGCACGAGGTGGCGCCAATGCAGTCATCAATGTAACGGAGGAAGAGTTGGGGTTTAGGGCCAGTGTAAGTACGGAAGAGGGATTGTTCTACGTAACCTACAAAGAGGCAGGTATAGCTTGGGCCTATGCG